GATCCGTTGCCGGACATGGAAAAAGACAAAAAAAAAAAAAAAAAAAGTATGCCCTATACGAGTGACCTCAATGGCTAAGATCAACATCATACACCCTTTCACTAAGTTTTGTTGACTCTAATCAGAGCTTTCTTTTGCCTCAATTGCTCTCTCATAAATGACTATAATCATCTCCACTTAACTCTAAGAATGCATGGTAGGATTAAGATGGTATAGTAGATGTGGAAGAATGTTTTAAAAGTTCAGCATTGTTCTGAGAGCATAATACAGTATTATGTGAATCTCTGGCTAAGACAATAGCACAGCCCTTATCACTGGCAAGGTCATTCTGAGACCTATCTACTTCTATCATAGTATTATTTGGAGGAATAAATCTTGGAATTAGTTACTCTTCATCCCTCTTAATCAACAGTAAATTCATAGATGATCCTCCTGGAACTGTGCTCTCTGAGCCCCTCCTTAAGCACATCTGTCTTTCTATCTCTTGCAGACTCAGATTGAAAGCAAGAAGCAACAGGTAGAAGCAGCTTTTGAGAGGCTGCAGCAGGAGCTGTGGGAACAGCAGTGTCTCCTGCTGGACAGGCTGAGGGAACTGGAGCAGGAGATCCGGAAGGAGAGGGATGACTACCACACAAAGGTGTCTGAGGAGGTCACTCGTCTTGGAGCCCAGGTCAAGGAGCTGGAGGAGAAGTGTAAACAGTCAGCAAGTGAGCTTCTACAAGTGAGAGACACCCCACCACCTCATAGGAGAAGAGAGGGGTTCCACAGGAAGGGGGTGCCATGCTGTGGACTGCAAGATGCTGGAGAGAGGCAGGAAAGGAAAGTGGAGATTATTTCTAATGGGAGGGACTGATAGTTACCTGACTCTTCTGGCCCAGAGAGGTTATGGGGATGTAAACCCAGAGAGCCTGGGTGACTTACCCAAGTCATACACTGTGTTCATGTTAAGGGCTTTGATGTCAGACAGTCTTAGGTTTGAGTGTCGGCTCTTCCAATTGTGTGACTTGGGTGAATCTCTTAATTTCTCTAAATATGGGGATAATAAAAGCACCTCCCTCATAGAGTAATTGCAAAAATTATAAGAAACAATCCATGTAAAATGCTTAGCATGGTCCCTGGCAGAAAGAACATTATGTAATCCTATTTCACATCAGGTCTGGCTGATACCTCAAGGCCTCCATCACATCTTTTTTTTTTTTTTTAAGATGACCAGTAAGGGGATCTTAACCCTTGACTTGGTGTTGTCAGCACCACGCTCTCCCAGTGAGCTATGGGATCCGAACTTGTGGCCTGGGTGTTATCAGCACCACACTCTCCCGAGTGACCCACGGGCTGGCCCATCACCTCTTCTTGGAAGCAAAACCCACCCCCAGGATAAGGCTGAGACAGAGAAGCCAGCACAAATGAACGGACTACAGAGTCCCAAATTAGTAAGGAGGCATGATGTAAAAGAAAAGTCTAATGAGTAGGTGATAAATAGATACATCTCTCTGGAGGAGGAAAGTTTTAGCTGATATTTTAGGGAAAAAATGATGTACGGAATCCCTGACAGGAAGGACAGGTGGAATCTAAATGCATGTTCTTGTCTTTCTTTTGTAGGATGTCAGAGTCAACCACAGCAGGTAGGGCCCGTTCTCCATCCCACCTCCTTTCTACTTGATATTGAGACCAAGGGGGAGAGGCGCTCACTGCCGCCCACTCCCCCCATGGATGGCTACTCAGAAAAGCAGAAGACTCTGACAGACACTCTGTCTCATTCCTTACACACAAACAATCCAGACTCACGAAAGGTTTGTGTTCTAAAGGTTCGTTCTTAAACTGATTGGTTGGTATTGGTGACACGTTTTTTTTTTTTTGTAGAAGTGAAGTTATAAATAATAATCATGTTTTTAGGGGGATCCAAGAACATCTATTTAATACATGAAATTATTAGTCCTTGAGTCAGTATCTAATACTATTTAAAATGTAATTCAAAGGGGAAATATTTGCTATAGACTATGGTAAGCATGGAACCTGAGAAGACCAGCCTGTTCTTTCATTCCTTTTTCCCACTCAACTTCCCCTGTTTCCTTTGGAATTTTAAAACGCTACTATAAAAGGACAGCCACCAGGAGCTGGGAGGCATTGTACATAAATGCAAGTCCCTTTCCTTTCCTCTCTGCTGTCTGCATTAGCCGTCTGCGCTGAGATGAAAAGAGCCATAAGGACTAGGGCACACTTGCCATATGCTTTGTGCCCATTCATGGGTAGGAGGGGATAAACCCAGGTGTCCGTAAATGAGGAAGTGTCTCCAAACATACTTTTCAAAGAGTGTTAGAAATTTAGATCTAGAAGGGCCTTGGAGATCCTCCAGTCTGATGAAGAAGCTGAGACCCAGATGGTAAAGTGCTAGCTCAGGGTCACACAGCTAGTGACTAAAGAGGACTAGGATGGGACCAGAACCAGGGGATTTTTCACTGCAATATATATTTTCTTTCATCTTTTTTCTTCCCTCCTAGCCCTTTTCCTCTTATAAAGATCAGCACACAAATTAGAAAAATTTAAGGCTGTTTTTCAAATGGTACCCTATTGCCCTCTAGAGACGAATAGAGGTAATGATTTCTGCCTCAGCCACCGTGGACCCAACATTCTCCTTAGAGCCTACCTCCAATTCGGAGGTTACCATTAGTTCCTCTTAGGTTTAACTTAAATGACTATTGCTTTAGTAACTATATATTTCCAGCAAAGGTAAAGAAATGATATTAAATCTAATTATTCACCACAGAGACCAAGACCATTCTTTAGTCTGATTTTAGCCTCACTTAGTCTGCATCACCCAAACATTATTTTTGGAATTTGGACCGAACTTGTTACCAACTTGTCTGCAGGTGTGAAATGAAGACTTTTGTGAGTCCAGAGGCCATTTCTCCTGACCTTGTCAAGAAGATCCGCGGTCTCCACAGGAAAATACTCACCCTCCCAGAGATGATGAGGACGTTCTCAGGTAAAGGGGTGGGGGCCGCAGCTTTCCCTATTCCCATTAGTTGCCCGCTTGCCTACCACCCATCTCCATCTTCCCCCACCTTCAAAACCAGGCTCAAGGTGTCTTCCTTCCTCAAAGCCTTCCCTTAGTGATCTCAGTGTACTCAGGGAGCCATTCCCTAGAGAATCTCCTTCGCTCCCCAAGGACAGGTGCTGGACTGAGTCTGGGAAGACAAGGACCACATCTCTCCCATTAGACCATAGCAGAAGCTGAGACTTCTCCCATCCCTATCCTGACATTTTGCCGAGGACACCCTGCCCTTGCGACAGCCCGTGAAAAATAATAAGTCACAGATCTTTCTTTCTATCTCTGCTTCCTCAGAAAACTTGGTGCATCATCTGGAAACAGATTCAGGTAAACAGCTGGGGGTTTCAGGAGCCATTTTTTTTTTTTTCATTGATGCATTCAATCCATGGCAGCAAACAGAACAACTAAATGGGTGAAATCTGGATCCCGATTGCTTAGGTTCTCTGTTTTAGTTCTTGCTAGCTATAAAACACTGAGAAAGTTATTAAGCCTCTTTGTCCCACAGTTTCTTCATCTTTAAATAGAAAAAAATAATAGCACCTGCCCCATTAATAGCTGTGAAGATTAAGTGCATTGATACATGCAAAGAGTGTATAATACCTGGCACATAGTAAGTGTTCAATTTATGTTAGCTACTTGGACAGATATTATTCATTCAAAAAATTTATCAAGCCCTTGGTTTTTACCCAGAATTGTGCCAGACTCTTTATTGACTTGAACAAATGTTGTACAATTTTCAAAACATCCTCACAACACTACCTGCTGGTCAGGTAGAAAAGCTGTCATCATCTGTCCTCATGGAACAGAAGGGGAAACTGAGGTTCAGAGAAGCGGGCCTATGGCAGGCTGCTCAAGGCCTGTGTTCTTTCTGCTTCCCACTCACATCATTACCCTCTGCAGGGGCATTTTTGGTTGCCGCCAGCTCCGTTGATGTCCCGCTCTCCTCCTTCTAGTGGTCATCACTCTGGACCCCCAGACCGCCAGCCGGAGCCTGGTCCTCTCCGAAGACAGGAAGTCGGTGAGGTACACCCGGCAGAAGGAGCACCTGCCCGACGGTCCCCTGCGCTTCGACGGCCTCCCGGCGGTGCTGGGCTCCCCGGGCTTCTCCTCGGGGCGCCACCGCTGGCAGGTGGAGGTGCAGCTGGGCGACGGCGGCGGCTGCACGGTGGGGGTGGCCGCGGAGGGGGTGAGGAGGAAGGGCGAGATGGGCCTGAGCGCCGAGGAGGGCGTCTGGGCTGTGATCATGTCGCACCAGCAGTGCTGGGCCAGCACCTCCCCGGGCACCGACCTGCCGCTGAGCGAGATCCCGCGCGGCGTGGGCGTCGCCTTGGACTACGAGGCCGGGCGCGTGACCCTCCTCAACACCGAGACGCAGGCGCCCATCTTCACCTTCGCCGCCTCTTTCTCTGGCAAAGTCTTCCCTTTCTTTGCCGTCTGGAAAAAAGGTTCCTGCCTTACTTTGAAAGGCTGAGGTGGAGCACGCGAAAGGGCGGTGTAGTGGAGAGAGCGGTGCCTGGGGATCCAGATCCGCTCCTGGCCAGCCGCGTGGCCTTGGACGACTCAGTGTGCCCAAGTGAGGCAGGAGGACAGAAGAGCTCAGAATCCCGAACGGTGGTTGTGTTCACTTTAGTTACCTCATGCCCTTCAGCTCCCAGATGTCCTGATCCTCCTGGTGAAGCTCCGGCCTTCTCTGCACCTGCTGGTGGAGAACCAGAGGCAGGCTAGGCTGTGCCTCGGACATCAGCAAAGCTGGGAGCCAGTGTGCTTTTGAAAGAAAAATCTCAAATAAAAAATTTAAAGCTTGAAAATAATTATCACAGGGAAAAACCAGGATTTCCTGGGCTTGCACTGATTTATACAGTTCACTGTTTGTTTTTTTTGACACACACCTGTAGAGGCCTTCACCTTCGTGGGGTTTAGGGCCTCGTCATTAGCCCTAAGTGGGCCCCAAGACCCCTTCCTTTTTGACTCCCTTCAGGTCATTTCTCTAGACTTGTGGAAAATGTCCTAATAAAGCATGCAACCCACAGACTTCTGTATTTCATGTGTGTCTAATTAGTGCTGATGAAGCTGAAGGAAAAGCTTAAATCCAGTGGAATCTGTCTGCTGTGACAATTTAGGGCTTACGTAGGTGGGAGTGGGGGGTCTCAGAGAGGATGGCTTCTGATCCCTCTGTGACCAAGACACAATCCTGTTCCTTCTTTGACACAGGACTTCCCTGATGACAGTGGGACAATCACCAGACCACGTTGTCTAATAAAATGAGGCTTTTGTTCAGGTTTAACTTCTCAAATATTAATTATTACTACAGTTATCATCTGGACACGGAAACAAACACAGGTTAAAATAACTTTACAAAGCGAGGTATAAATCCTTGTAACGGTGATAGTTCTCCCCATACCCACCTGTTCTGGTTCTAGTTATTTCTTCTCTCAGGTTGAACACTCACACTGCCAACCCCTGAAGAATTCTGCCCTCATCCCTAATCCAGGTTCCCTCTAGTGTAAGACGATACTCTGTGTACAAGAGCACCTTTGTTATCGCATGAGCCCTGCTCCTGAAGTGTGGGTCAGATGTTTTGAGAGGCACTGTAAGAGCTTTTACCATATGTAAATTTTACTACAAAATTGTAACATGAATCATTGTGATGTGAATAATTACTCCTAATTTAACTGTTTCTTTTATATCAAAGACCTCTTGATATAATAAGGTCTCTGATATAAAAGAAAGCAGACTACTTGGTTTCTTCCGTCCCCTAGTGCGGTGAGCAGAAGCACCTGTCTGAGTGTGTCTGATCCAGAAAAACCAAATGGCTTGGTAGTCCAACCTAGTAGTAATAGTATTGCCTAGTGTTTGTTATAAAAGTAGTATATGCTCATGGCTGAAAAAAAACTCAATCATTTTCAAAGTGTATAAGTAAAAAACCTCTCTTCACCCACTTAACACTTCCCCTTGCCACCTGTAGTTAATCACTGGTGTCAACTTTTTGTGTACCCTGTCAGTTTTGAATACAAGTATATATAGCTTTTTTTTTTATAACACAAATGAGATTAAGCCATGAATACTCTTTCAACCCTTCCAAAAACTATATGCAACACATGCTCATTGTAACACTTGTCAAACATCACAGAATGCTGTAAAGCTTTTTTTTTTTCCGAAAATACACATCTTCATTTGAACCTTATAACAAACCTATGAAATACATAGGACTTATTTTATTTTTCTCATTTTGTGGCTGAGAAAACTGGCACACAGTTGAATGAACTTGTCTAACAACTTTCACAGCTGGTGCTTCAGGCCCTGGTGCTCAGTCCCTTCACTCAATGACCTTTCCACCAGGCGGAGACTTTCCCAACAGATAAATCCCATGGGGCTTGGTTTCATTTGCTATGCATTGAACTAGTGTTTTAGATAGGCAGGGCATTCTTGGTTGAGTATGAAATAGAAAAACAAACGAGTTACACTGTATTTGCAGATCTCTAATACTTCTAATTTTAGGGCGGTCCAGATAATTTAGGTGTGTGAATATCAAAATATTTTATTTCCTAGGGGAAAACTAAATCATATTTGTTAAAAGATAAGGTTTGATACGGTTGGGTGGTGGGCATACAATTATTCATTAGGTTACTTAGAGCACTTGTCTGTAGACCTGAAATATTTTATAAGAAAAAAACCAAAACTAGTTATTCATAAGATTTGTACATTTGGGGGAGGCTATGATACTTATATGGCTTGCATTACTATTATGAAATGTTGTTTTTAAAAATTATAAAAATTATTGATTTTTGTGTTAGTGTTGTATTCAACAATTTTGCTTCACTAATTCTAATAGTTTGTTGATTCCGTAGGTTGACTGTGTAGAAAACTTATTTTACGTCTGAAAATAACGGTTTTGACTCTTTCCTTCTAATCCATTTAACTCTTAGTTATCTCATCTAGCCGTGGACCAAGGCCTCCAGTTTTTCACTTTGTATTTTATGTTTTTAAAGTCTTTTTCACCACCACGAGATCATAAATACGTGTGTGCTCCCACTAGTTATATAAATTGTTTCATATACATTTGTTCCCACTAGTTATATAAATTTATTGTCCACATTAATGTCTTCATCTAGTGTGAAGAAGACAACCGACCTTATTTTTCCCCAATGGTAAGCCATTTTTCCAACTCCGTCTACTTAAACAATCCATCTGTTCCCACTGATTCGTGGTGCCACCTCTAATATACCAATTTCCAATGAACAGAGGAGTTGTTTCTGAGCTTTCTGTTCCGTTGTATTGGTCTATTTGTCTTTTCCTGAACCAGTACATCTTATTTTTTTATTGCTACAATTTGTAGTATACCTCAGTGTCTAATGGAGCTACTCTCCCTTCTTTGTTTCTTTTTTCAAATTTATCCCAGCTATTCGCAGACCTTTATGCTTCCTTACAAATTTAGAATCAATTTGTCAGGTTCTGTTTTAAAAATACTGCTGCTCTTTTAACTAAAATTACATTGACATTGACTGAAATCTTATTAAATTTGGGGACGGTTAGAGGAAATTAGCTTGGAGAATTTTGACATTGTCATCTTGTCCATGAACATGTTATCTCTCTGGCTGTATAGAACTAGTTTCATGTCCTTTAATTTTGAAACTTGAATATGAGACATTGAAATTTTCTTTACATAACAATTTGGCAATATCTAGTAACATGCATAATGCATATCCTGTTTTGGTTTTTTTTTTTTTTTTTTTTTTTGGATGGCTGGCTGGTATGGGGATCAGAACCCTGATCTTCGTGTTGTAACACCATGCTCTAACCAACTGAGCTAACTGGCCAGCTCTGCATAGGTAAATTTCAAAAACACACTGATGTGCAACCAAAAAAAGCAAGACTAAAAATCTATATCTCCATTTTAAAAAGTTTGAAAACATGCC